CATCCTGTCCCCTGCCTTGTGCCCTGTGTTCCCAGGCTCAGAATCATCCAGAACCATCCATAAACAATTCAAAAATGGATGGACCTTTATTTTACCAAATAAATTAACGCTGGATGATTTGACTGTAAGTTTCACATGGCATGACATTAAAAATGTACACATAAAACATGAAAAACAGAACATTCTAAATGAACAAACACATGTAGACTACATTAATCTGGTCAATGTTTGTAAAACACCTCCATTCCTATCGGTTGTTTGAAAATCAGTGAGATCAAAGTGGGCCAGGTAGCCTAATTCACAGGTTCTGGCGCTGTTCGGTCTGGCCAAATTACAACGGCATTTTCAGCTATGAGAGTGAAAAACTCACTGGAACATGTAAGAGGCACTTAATGAAAAGGGGCAGTTACTCGACGCTCTTCCTGCCACAGCCAGTTCCGTCTGCCCCGGAGCCCTACTCAAACAGAACCTCGTCGATGGGAACGTCGCCATCGTGCACCGGGATCTGGGGGCATATCTGCTCCCTGAAGGCCAGGCCGATGGTGTAGGGCATGCCCCCGGGGTGACTGGCACACCGCCCCAGGTAAGTGTCATAGAAGCCCTTCCCGCGGCCCAGCCGATTGCCCCCCCTGTCGAACCCCAATCCGGGCATCAGTATTAGATCCAGGCCCCCTGTGAAGAACCAAGAGAAAAATGTAATCAGCAAGTTTCATAATGCCGGCCTTAATTAAAATGTTGCTATCATTCTGGTTGCACCAGAAATACAAGCGAAACAGCAACCAGCCACTGCTTATACCCAGCAAGATCTGCGGGAAAATGGAATGAGATCAGCAGAAATTTACACAATGGATATAGTGACACGTGCTGACTTCACACTTGACAATCTGACACTCAGACATTGCCTGCAATGCTGTGTGTTTAATCAAAATGCATGCAGAAATGTATTTATGCAAACATATCAAATATATCAGACAGTGTATTGGACCAGAAACAGCAACTCGAAGTTGCCATGTGTGGTTGTCAGCGCCAGAATATAAATGCTCGCTTCCGTTTCAGCGCAGAGAGAATGACCTTTATTAATCAGTCACATTTCAGTGGGTATCAAGGTTATTAAACCCAGCTGTGTGTGA